CATTACAAGGGAGGCTCACACTCTGAGACCAAAGGGAATGCAATTAAAGTGGATGCTGTTAAAGGGGACACTATTCTCCTAGACACTAACCAGATGCTTAAATCCCAGGCTGTTACTTAGCTTTCTACAAATGTGCTAACATTTGACAATATCATTGTCAAATAAAACAGATGAGAAGAAACACCTCCTGTTAAATACCCAGGGATGAAAAGTGATCACACTCTGAGACCAAAGGGAATGCAATTAAAGTGGATGCTGTTAAAGGGGACACTATTCTCCTAGACACTAACCAGATGCTTAAATCCCAGGCTGTTACTTAGCTTTCTACAAATGTGCTAACATTTGACAATATCATTGTCAAATAAAACAGATGAGAAGAAACACCTCCTGTTAAATACCCAGGGATGAAAAGTGATCAGAACATACTCTCTCCTTCTCACATATCTTACAAAAAATAGAAAAATCTGTGTCAGTAAACTCCTTTAGTTTTGCATGAAGTCTCCTAATTCTTGCAGCCTGAAAAGCCAACAGTGGAGTTTCTACTCTGGGTGTCACACACATGCCAAACTTCAAGAACCTCCTTAAGAAGGGAAGCAGCAATGCCATCCCAGTAAATACACAATTATTCTTCTGTCAGTAAGGGTTCACCAAGAAAATACAGGGAGAAAGCTGAAAGGCAGAACAAATGCTAATGTTTAAAAAGGGATTAAAGCAGAGAAGTCTAGTTCTTATTTATGTCTAGTTTAAAAAGGAATTAAGGCAAAGAAGTCTAGTTCTTATTTATGTCTAGTATCAGCCCCAAGCTCAGGCCCTGCAGGACAGTGGGCAGGGAGGTGTGCTGGGACTTGACATGTGTGGCTGAACACAATTTCCACTGCTGCAGCCTTCCCTCCCTTTGTTTTCAAGTTGCTCATGAACTGGTTTGACTGTCTCCAAAGGGAAGACCAACACAAATTAAGGCAAAGAAGTCTAGTTCTTATTTATGTCTAGTATCAGCCCCAAGCTCAGGCCCTGCAGGACAGTGGGCAGGGAGGTGTGCTGGGACTTGACATGTGTGGCTGAACACAATTTCCACTGCTGCAGCCTTCCCTCCCTTTGTTTTCAAGTTGCTCATGAACTGGTTTGACTGTCTCCAAAGGGAAGACCAACACAAACCCTTCTTGGCTGGGAAAAACTGTGACAACACAGTGGGGCTATCAAATTTGTGGGTGGGGTAAAAAAGCAGCAGGGATGGGTGGGATGGGTGAAAGTTCTCAAAAGGACAGACTGTTCTCCAAAAATGAATTATAACTGTGTTTAATCAAGTCAGCAGAATGATTCTGCTGAATAATGCCATGAAATAGAAGGCAGACATCCCATTGTGGGCATCTCTGGCCATTCAGAAACTCAGACAACTCATCAAACTGGTCTGACACCGGAGGGAGGAAAAAGGGGAAGAAGAAACAACCAGAACTGGGATCAATGCTAAGTAATCCAAACTCTGCAGATGATCCTATTCAAGAGTTACAATATATCCAAGATCACTAATAACAGTTTGGTGTTCCATTGGTGACATCCCCTCTAGAACAATTAGCTTCTTATATTCAGGAATGAGGTGAGACAGGATCTTCAGGTACAACATGGAGTGCTTGGTTGGACTCCTCTCTCAGTCCCTGACCCACAGGGAAAGCTTTCCTTGATGTTCTGCTTCTCGACAGGCTAAATACATCTACTTTAATTACCTAACTATCTTAACATCCCCTTGAAATGTTTCCTCTTCCCATTTACTGCTGGGACAGGATCTTCAGGTACAACATGGAGTGCTTGGTTGGACTCCTCTCTCAGTCCCTGACCCACAGGGAAAGCTTTCCTTGATTTTCTGCTTCTCGACAGGCTAAATACATCTACTTTAATTACCTAACTATCTTAACATCCCCTTGAAATGTTTCCTCTTCCCATTCACTGCTGGGACAGTTCCAGTTTCAGGAATTCCGTCTCGGCGAACGAATCCTTAGACAGCCACGAAACCTCCTCCCCTTCCCTCAGCGTCAAGAAACGGGTCAAAAATCTCACGTTACCTCGAAAATCTCCTCCCTGGACACCTCGATCCGACAGTGCCCAGCCTGAGGCTGCTGCTGGGACAGCTCCTGCCTCAGGATCTTCAGCTTCTGCACCAGGTCTCGCTTGTACCTGGGCACGGTGAGACACTCGGCCTCGTCGGGGAGCTGGCACAGGGACACGACCTGCGGCGGCTGCGGGTGCTGCTGGTCCTTCAGCTGGTTCTGGCGGCTGCACACACACACACAGAGCTGCTGCAGCCCCTGGGGCAGGGCAGCCCCTGCTCCCTCACCTGCTGCTCGAGCCTTTGGACCTGCACTGCTTTCCATTTACTGCTCTCATTACACTCACCCCGTCCAGGGCAGTAAAAGATAAATACAGGGAGATTTTACCTTGACTAGAGACATGTGCTCCTGTCTGCCTTGGCAACTCTGCCAGGTTTAGGGTTTCTTATTTCTGTTAGTACTACTCTGCAAAGTATGTAAAAGGTTACAGCACACACAATGAGGTACTATCCATACAATTTTACTCCTCAGCTGCTGACACCGAATTTCTCAGATACCATTTCCATATTTCCTCTGCGTGTTTTCCCTTCCTCCATTTTCAAATTCAGGGACCTGCCAAACTCTCTGCCTCTAATCTGCAGTCAATACCATAGTCTGTTGGAAATGGCTTGTCTGGAAAAGAGTAAGCTTACAAAAAGATGTTTGTACTGGCAGCTTGGCAAGGCCCTTGTCCCTTGTACCTGGCCTAGTCTGGACCACAGGAATGTGGGAGTTCACATGGAACTAATTGGCACAGATAAACAAGTATTTTTTACCAGCAATTCTAAGAGATTTTGTAAATCTGACTTCTCACTAGGAAAAGTAAACAGACTGTTGCAGTGATGTCCTCTCTGTGCTGTTTCTTGCACACAGTGGCTATTTTCCCAGCAGTTCAGTATGGCATTCCCAAACAACACAGGATAAAGCTGTTCTCCCTGAACCATCCAAGAATCTCTCTGTGTGGAGCACAACAATACCCTAAATTTACTGGATAAACAAGAAACATTACAATTGAAAACGTTTTCTAGTGGCATGTTAGTTTTTTTCAACAAGGAATATTCGATGGAAACAAAAAGTTGTAATATATTTTATAATTTCAGCCTATTTTCACTTGTGATTAGTTTTCAATACGAATCTCACGTAAACTGTGTTTACTTGACGTACAAATTAAAGCAAAAACCTTATTTTGTCTTCTCAACTTCCTAATTCCATAAGGAGGAATATGTGACAATATTCCCTTATAGGCCTGCAGAGAAGGTCACATTTCTGTACTAAAGAGAGCATCTATCCAGATGGATGGATGAGTGAAAAAGACACAATACCCTAAGCACAAAGCTACTCAGGGTCTAAAGGAAATCTAACCTCTGAAATGAGCATGAACTTGGGATCTATGCATCAAATTAAACCATTATTTCTCTCCTTGAAGTACTTCTCAAAATAAGGAAGTACTAGGAGGAGAGAAATAAAATGCCATCCTCCCTATCGGTCTAAAAATAATCAGTGCAGTATTAGCTAAACAATCTGCAGTGCTTAAAGCCCTTGAATCTCAGTTCTGTGTTTTCACAGCTGACTGACTACCCCTGATTCTGCACAGTGCTGGGAGGATACAGCTCAATACTGTTCAGGTGCTTTAACTATCAGAATCTGTCACAAACTCTCGGCCAATATTTTAAACCAGAACTGGGTAACAAGTTTGATTATTTTTGCAACTTATCATGTCATCACTGGAAGAACAAATGGCTTTACTCAGCTCAGTATCACAGAGCAAACTTTTTCTCATGCCTTTGAACCTAGAACACCATCCCACCCAAACACTGCTCTTATTCCTCTGATGATTTACAGAACCACAGGCCTCAGGCAAACCACTTTGTTTGTCTTTGAAAGAACAAATAAGGAGGTGGGTTTAAGGCAGGGGAAACTTTCACATATCCTGTTTGGGGCAACAGAAGGATAAACAGCAGAACTGATATATTAGGCAGCAGTGTGTGCTGATGACACTGCTGGGTGAGTTTCTGAAATGTTTCCCTAATCAAAGACAGATGGACAGGTGAAAACTGCAGGAGTACTCTAAGTTTAAATAAATGAAGACCAGTTCTGTGATTGTGGAAATGAGAAGCCAAATTGGATTTTCCAGCTAACAAAGGTAGCTCTGTATCTGTCCTCCACACTCCATGTACGACTGGCTACTCTGCCCCTGCTCCAGTTCACACCAACCTCCCTGGGAAGGCCAATTGCTCCAGTTCAGCCCAGTTAGCTGAATTTTCTACAGGTCAAGAATTGCCCTGTTGTAGCTAAGAGGGTCTGAAGTTTTTCTTCTAGTAAAGTATCTAAATCTGAATTGATTTAAGGAACTTTTCTGTGCTTCAAACATGAACATGCTCCTCCACTGATAAGTTTTTTTTCCAAGATAATGTTCATTTCACACCACCAATCTCAATTCAGCTAAAAGGAGCAGTGATTTCTTTGTTTAATTTTTAAAAAAAAGCACCCGAAGTGGCTGGTTGATGGGAGCCTGCTAAAAGTTCTGTAACACACACACATAGAACCAATTATTTCTCTAAACAAAACACGTTTAGACTCTTCTCCCCCTCGGGGTGTGAAGTTCAAGTGTGTATTGGGCAAAGCCTAGACAGCTCTGTGTAATGCATAAAAGCTATGTCAACTCCTGCATATTACTTTCCATTCCTCCTTTTGTCTTTTCAGTGCTTGTTTCCATTATTCTTTCTTTCAGCTTTTCTTCCCAATGATTCACTTCCTTAAATTAAAGGACTATTCCTTCTCCTCACTCCTTGCCCAGGGCTCTGTGGCTTTCCATCCAACCAACTCTCCATTGTTTCTTCCACTTAACACCTACTCAGTACTTTAAAGGTGTTTCCCAAGAGTATTAAAAGGTGTTAGCAGGAGAAACAATAGAGTCAAACTCCCAAATAGCTCGGACAAGGCGTCTGGGCATAAAAAAAAAAAAAAAAGGACTCCCAAATAGCTTGGACAAGGCGTCTGGGCATTAAAAAAAAAAAAAGAAAAAAAAAAGTTTGCTTTTTGGTTTCCATTTTTAGTAGAAAATCCCCAGTGTGTAACGAGTGCTCAGGGAATGAAACTAGAGCCAGAATTCTTTCGAGTTTCGCCTTTAAAAGTGTGATATGAAAATGTGATATCAGAACACCAAGGTAGAAAAAATGCAGTTTCTATTCTGTTTTACTCTTTTTTATAAGAAATAGGCCGAGTTAAATTATTGGGGCCTTATATTGAGAATATATTAACTAGTCCTGCTCTAAAACTGAAGGTAAGAGCTGAATTATTCCTCCTTTACTCCAGGAGAATAGTTGGGCACTTGCAGCCTTGACTAACCCATCAGTACTTCACACCACTGGCTCATGTGCAACTTCATATTTTAAAACAAGCTCTCCACAACGAAAAGCAGTAAGAAGCATGAAGAAAACAAAGCAGTATGAAGTATAAAAAAAACCAGCGTCTTGCTCTTAGGAGGAAGAATCTCTGGGCCAACCTTCCCCACTGACAGCACTTGCTTCCTGCCCTCTGCAGCATCCCAAGGCCACCATCCTGCCCAGATGCTCCCAGAGACACTCAGGAGCAACCAAACTTGTGCTGTGTATGGAGTCAACTGATGGTGTGTGGAAAAACAGTGCTCTGCTTGCACTGCTGCCAAAGGGCAGAGCACACCCTGCCACCCAGTCAGCACCCTGAGCCCCTCCCAGGGCCAGAGCCCCAGACTCACTTCAGCACCAGGTGCAGGTTCGCCGAGAGCCGTGGGTCGGTGAACTGCGTCGTCCTGTTGTTATGGTCAACAAAATAAACTCTGCCCGTCGCTGTGTTCCGGATCTCCCATCCAGGAGGCAGAGGACCAAGCTCTTCACAATTGATGTTGCTAAGATCCCTGTGAAAACAAATATGAAATGAAAAATACCTCAGCGATTGGCCTCCGAGCCAAAGCGGCGTAAACGCGACGGAGCAATTCCATGAAGGCTGAGAAAATGTCTTGTTGGAGGAATTGGAGCTGCTCAGCTGGGAGATCTGCTCCCAAGGTGAGCCCACCACGGCAAACACACCCCCAGGACACAAGCCCTGGGGAAAAAAGCCTTATCAAATCACCTCCAGAGTCACAAACTAAGGTCAGTTGTTACAGGACTCCCAGAAAAATCAAGGCCACTGCCCTGTTTGTCAAAAGAGAACTGCAGTTCTGCACCAATTCTGCCATCAGGCACACAAGGAACTGTGAATCACCTTATGAGCTACAAAACTGAACTGTATTTCTGAGGGGCTGGACTTCCCATGAAGAATTGTGCAGGGATGTGTGTCTGTGGCACAGGCAGTTTTGCCCCCAAGCCCTAAGTGCTAGTGGGAAGCAAACAGCTCCCCAAGAAAATATTTCAAACCCAGTGTTATAGGAACAGTGACTCAGCTCTGCCCCAAGCTATGCAGAGGTGGCTCCACAGATCTCCAGAAAAATTCTGCTGAAATTAGGAGGATGGAGATTCATTCCAGAGCTTCACTGAAAACAAACACTGTTCTCCAAAAAGGTACCCTTATTGACTCCTCATGGACATCACTCACACCTCAGACACCTCACCCTGCCCAGTGCAGACTGTCCCAAAGGGATAAGTGCTCAGCTCTCCCAGGATGGTGTGAGGGGAGGGAGAACAGAGCCAAGGGACAGAATGGCTAAAAAGGTGCTGTCTGCAGGGACTCCAGAGACTGAGGAGCCACGAATGGCAGCACAAGGCTCTAGGACAGAATTTTTCCCCATGAACTCACTGCTGCTGAGCTGCAGGGATTACTTCTGCTGACTACATGACTGTGGCTATTAGCACAAAAATACAATATTCCTCAGAAATGACATAAACTCTTATCAACTCTAAGCAAACAGCCAAATTCTGTTCTCAGAGACACTCATGGAGTTTGTACTGCCACACCTAAGGGCAATGCTAACTGAGATGTCATACAAAACTAGTACACCCCAAACTTAAGGATTAGGTCTTCATATAATTGTTTTTTAGAGCTCAGTTGTGTGGAATACACGAGTCCCAGACTTAATAACACACAGCTGTGAGGTGTTTCACAGCCTCAGGTCTGCAGGTTACACACCAGAGCAAGGTATAGTCTCACAACACCAAAACAGCAGCAAAAGAATCATTTGAAAATGCAATGAAATTGTGGCCATGAGGCACTTGGTCCTTCCTGGGACACCCACTGGCATGGGAAGGAACACAGTGAAGCTGCTCCAGGTCTCACAAGCACCTGCATTATCTGCCAGTTTCAAACCACACACATCTGACACCACCATCCACACACTTGAGGCACAGAACATTTTCAACAGGGTTTCTGATTATCTAAATAACAAAAGTACCAATAATTTCCATTAGCATCCCTTCAAACACAACAGAAATAATCAGGGGTACAATCATGTACAAGATGTACATGTGTCCTGTGTAAATAAGGGCTTGAAATTAGAAAGACTTCAAATTTCTCTTCTCCCAAGTGCTGAGACAGCTGCAAGAATCCAACCCAGTTTTCACTGAAGTATCTTGCTAAATCTAAATTTTTGGAAGTTTGTTTCATTACTGGACTGGGCTCTTATTCATATGCAAGATCCAGACTCAGTGAACTGTACCTGTTTTCAAACCACCAGTGTAATTTATTTCTTGATTTTCCATCTTTGCATTAAAATAACAACCTGCAGAACTGAGGAAGAGAGATTCGTTTATTTTGATGAATGACTTGTTAAAATGTTATATTAGGGGCCAAGAAACAGAAATATAATGATATAATGTCAGACAGACAAAACTCTTGAGGAGAACATTGCTGAAATGACTTTGATTTGAAACCTCAGGGGTAACTTCTGTCATTTCTTACCTCGGTACTCTTGGATCGTGCCACGTGCTGACACCAGTCTGAGTATGCAGAAAATAGACCTGACCTTGCTGAGTTGTCCTTTGCTCTGTGAAATCAAGACAAACTAATAAGTGTAAGAACACAAAATGTAACATGAAAACCCAAAGACTGATTTCCCGAAACTAAGGAATCAAAAAGAGAAGACACAACCTATTTTCCCAGTTTCTCCAGACCCCCCAAGTTATGATATTTTGGTGTCCATACCATATCCTTCAGGCAGATCAGGAGGAGTGTGCAGGTGTGTCCTGCTCATGTAGTTCCTGTGCCTCTGGGACCGGACCCTCCTCTCAGCCAGCCGCGGGTCCGACGCCTGCCCGCACGTCGCGCCGTTCGTGCCTGGGATCGGAGTGTTCTCGTCCACAAAGCAGCTCAGGGGCCTCCCCGGGCTGGAGTACTCGGATGCTGGTCTGGGGAAATGGGGAATTGCACAGCTGAGTGGACACGGGTCACTCCACACACCTGCTGGGAGTTTCATGTCAGGACTGAGCCGTGACCTGCCCAGGAGACACCTCGATGATGAGCAGAGAGCTCTGCCCTGCACTCCAGGGCTCATCCCAGAGGAACCAGAGCTCCCTCACACATCTGAGGGTCTGACCCAGCAGCATATGATGCTGCAGGATCTCGAGCACATCAAATGCTCACGTGAAAGTTCTCACCTTAAAACAGAGCCACGAGAACAAAATGATTTTCAAATAAGCACCATACAGCACAAACTTCCTCACCTTGCCTTCACATGGCTCAGGAAGTGATCAGCAACTGTTCCTTCTCATTTATAAGGAAGGTTATTAGATGAGGGTGGTGAAAAAGGGGCAAGCAAGGTAAAAAGCAGTTTCTCTCGAGAGCTCAACTGCAAGAGGAAACATTGAACTGTGTATCTTGTGTCTCAGTGCTGCTTTCAAAAGGATTTAAAGTGGGTTAAAGTGGGATTGAAAAGGTCACATGAAATCCCCAGAACAAGTTATACATTTTGCAATTTTTTTCTACTGTAAATGTGTCTAGAGCTTAGAATAGGTATTTTCACATACCAGGAAAAACAGAGAGGGGCAAATTAAAAGCTGTTCAGTCCCCTCACTCCAAAACTGCAAATATGCACCAGAGCTGGCAGTGTTAACAGCACAGATTATTTTAAGTCAAATATATCCATGCAGAGAGCAGAACAGCACTGAGAATGGAAGAGACAGTCTGCAGGCACAGACAGTCTGTAGGAGAGGCTGAAAAACATGCAGTGAAACTGTCTACAGTTCAGGTAACTGTGAAACTGGTTGAAGCTTCACATCACACATCTCCAGTTATCAGGGAAGGTGACTGTGATGGTCTCAGAACATGCTCTGTAGCAATCAATTTTTGCAGCACTGGATGATATGGTCATAGCAGGTACAATGTCAGCTGCTCATCATCCCTTCTTCATCCCTCACATATCTGCACACTGCAATCTCTGTACTGAGAGAGCTTCTACCATAGCATCTCTACAAGAAAACAGATGCTATGACTCGGGGAGGAAAAAAATCTAGTCCGAATGATCTGAGTTAGACATGAAACAGCCTGAGGGAGTAGGATGTTAGGGAAGTACAGAGTGTTAGAGGGACTTGGAGGAGTGACCAACCCCCCTGTTAGAGCCCCTGGAGTCACCCCCCAGTGCCTGAGACAGGTCCTCACCGCGTCGGTCGCTCCCACTGGGTGGTCCTTGTGATGTGGTTCAGGTACTGGATCCTCCCGGACGCAGTCCTGCGCTCCTCCCACCTGCAGCACAGCACCCTCAGCTCAGCCAGGGCCACCAAACCAGCACAGCTGCCAGCCCTGGAGGACTAACACCACTACCAATCATGTTAGCTGAACAAGGGAACAGGGAACAACTGGAAGCTGAACACCAGAATGGTTTAACGTATTCCTCCCTTGGAACCAGGCACACCATTAACACTATCACACCTTCGTCTGCAGCAACTGTTTGAGTCCTAATTAAATCCAAATAGCCATATCAAGAAACATGAAAACATCATGTTTAATTTAGCTTCTTCTGGCCACTGACTCGGCACTGCTTTCACAGCACCTTCATACACTCCTTGCCTTCATTAAAATGTCAGCTTCAAACAATGTGGCTTTCTAATTATTATTCACTTTGCCCTCCAAAATACACCAGGCTGTACAGCAAGCTTTGCAATTACACAATTAAGTAAGCAATATTTATGCAAGGAACATTTTGAAGTGAAAATTTAGAAGCATTTTCAAAAGTGTTTTTGACTTATCTGGACTCCTAATTAACCCAAGAATGCCATTTAGGACTGAGATGATGATTTGCATTTCAAAATTCATCCTCTGAACATTCAGTTTCTCCTGTCTTTACCTGCCAAGAATCACATTCAGAAGGTCTGTGTTTCCTCTGAAGAAGCTGCTGACAGCACCAGAACCTAAACCAGAGCATTTTTCTGTGTTCACACGACTGGTTTAGGTGATAATGATGTCACTAACTCTCACAGGGACAAACCAGAATCCTAAACACAGCCCTTGGCAGGTAAACACAGCAAGAACTCAGGCTGCATTACCTTTTCCAGTCATGTTTTCTTCACTAGGGCATACAAGGAAGGAGAGTGACCCATGTTTAGCACAGTGTGGCACTGCAGCATGCAGCCAGGCACGGGTGGTCACTGCCTTGTTCCAAGCATTTATATACACAAATCTGTTTGTTGGCTGTGATTTAACACATTAGTTCATCACTTCTATAATATGAAAGACATATTTTCTTAGATAAGTCTATTTTTCAATGTCACCTCCCATTTTCCAAGAAGAGATAAGACAAGAGCCAAACTATCAACTGTTCTGTGTTTCCAGGCTGGCTCAGCTTCTGTTGCTGAATGCAAAACTGCAGGACTATGAGAGCCAGAATAAAAACCTAGTAGTTTATTTGTTTGCTTTGCTGCAGAAGTCTGTTGTAGGAGCTGTATTTGTATTTGCATCACAGTGATGTCAACTCACCCATCTGGTAAGTCGTTGTCGAACAACCGACTGCAGTCCACGACTTGTCCTCCTGTGCCTATTCGGTCTCGGGACTGGAGACTCACTATTAAGAGGATAAAAGAATTATTAAAGACATGACATCTGAGTGAAAACTACAGTTATGTTGGAAAGATTGGTACAGCTTGGAGGACTAAGCTGAGCCAGGGCAGCAGGGAGACACTGCCCACAGAACTGCTCAGAGAAAGAACCAGAACAAGGAATTCCTCTACTTTTGACTCCTCCTTGTGTATTTTGTGTGTCCATGGGTTTCAACACCAGCACATACACCCAAACACAAAACTAGATAAAGTTTAGCTGCTAAAAGCACTTCCCATTTGGTAAGAAGTCAAATGCAACTCACACCAAGCAGTGCTCAGCACCCTGAAAAGCCCTCACTGCCCTCAGCAAAACTGCTTCACTTTTTCTACATTTCATTTGTATTTTTTCACATGATTCATTGTAATGGATATTTATGCCTGAAGCTTTTGTACTGCAATTATGAAAACAAAGATTTTTTTGTTTTTTAAAGGCTGCTTTTGTTCCCAATATCACAATTTGCAAGTGTCCAATCTGATAATTTATGACACTTGTGTTCCTGCAGGGCTGGGGAGGAGTGTTTTGATGTTTTGTTATGCCTTTAACAATAAAACAATTGCTTAAAAAGCTAAATACGTGCTGTGGCCCACATTTCTTGAGGTGGCACTAATGTACCTCTGCATAACTGTTGTCAGGTCCTATTTATATGGGCAGTGACATAACGTTACAGACCTTCACCTGGGAACAGCCAAAGTTTTGTTGAGATCACAAAGTTAAAGTTGGAGCAGAACTGGCAGTTTTTGCCTGAGTCCCCAAATTTTCAACAGCATGTTTTGAAGCTGAGGATTCAGCAGCCCAACCCTGCAGTACCTGCTGCACTCCTAGCCCACAGTAACTCCTAGTCTTCCAAGAACACTGAGATTCCAAAGCTACTTCTTCTTAGAGCAAAAGACATCTTAAATTTCATTTCAACCAAACCAAACTCTCAGATGATGTATTTATCCCTCAACAGCCCCACACATCACAAGTTCTCACTGTTGCATGTAGGCAAGGTTTGGCAAGCAAAGCACCCAGACGAAAATGAAACTGAATTACCTCCTCTGCCTATGTGAGGACCACAATTTGTGCAGTTTCACTGTCTAACAAGCAACAGCTCCTTTTTTTCCTCCTGCAGCACCCCATCAGAAATGAAATGGTGGCACAGAAAAGAGCTGCAAGGCTAAGACACAGTTAGGTGTCCCTGGATCCACTTCTCAATTTCCCCTTTTCTTCCCCCATTTGAAACTCACCCAAGAATTGAATGAAGGATCCCCTTGCCCCTTGTACCCACTGTGCACTCGATTTGCAAGAGCATCATCTGCTGAATGTATCAGTTACATTTTGATATTGCTCTCCAATCTTGCATAGTCTCTTCATTTGAGACAGCTTATCACTCAAAGAGCTGAGTATATTTATAACTTATTCTATCTCCTTACTCATTTTTAATCTTGATTTCCCCACCATCTAACCACTGCAGTGGAATTATCTAGTTTTACTCAGGCTCATTCATCCATTCAACAAAATTGCATGAGTGAAGAAAGATTAAAATTTAAGAAGATTAATAATGACAACTTAAATAAAAAGACAGGAGTCTCTGGAATCTCACCAAGGATGCATTAAATTAAAACACAGCCACGACTGAGCAAACCTGACCTTTCTGATGGTACAAGCAGAACACACAGGGGTTTTGGTTGTTTTGGGGTTTTTTTTTCCTTCAAGGAATGCCAGTGCTGACGACCAGGATGCATGCAGCATACTCTGGAGGGCAGCATGAGAGCAGGGTGTGAGGGCACAGTCCCAGGACTGCCCTGGGCAGTGGAGCTCCCCTGCTCCCTGCACCAGCTCTGTCTGCTGAGCCCCAAAGCAAAACCACAGCAGGAGTGCTCAGGGGACCAATAAACTGGAGGAAAACCAAAAGACAAACCAAACTGACCTTGTAACACACCCCAGAAAAGTGGCTGGTTTATCCTTTGCTCTTCTGTGCAGGCTCACGTGGAATATTTAATATTCCAGAACAGCCTCATGTGTCAGCAGTGCACTTACAGTTCCACATTTCTCCCATCACTTGACTCTCCTGTGTCACCACACTCTTATCTTACCACCGTGCAAGCACTTGCAGATGAGATGCAGACAGACAGATAATGGATCATAAAGAGGTAAAGTCACAGGTGTTATCCAAGAGAACACTTTGAGGAAAGCAAACAAAGGCACCACAGCCCTTATTTACTGACTGGGAGTTCAGTGGTTTTCCCTGGCTGACAGAAGTGCTGCTTAGCTATCATTTGAACTAGGAACTGAACACAGAACTGAGCAGGCAAATCCACTTTTCTTTCCCCCATATCCAAATATTCTCATGAACGTCCTGCCACAAAAATCCTTACCCTGATGAACTTTTGACTGAAGGACCTATCCTTCACAAAGGACTTAGAATGCACCAAAGAGAGAGTGTTTATGAAGGTTTTTTGATGAAGTTTTTTGCGTTTTTCAATTTGAAAGCTTCATCTTAATTCCTAAATTACATAAAGTTTACAGTGACAAAGCAGTGACTGAGGTGGGTGATAGAGTTTTTCACAGAAGTTCAGGCTCAAATTGTCACCATTCTTTACGGTGACATTTAAAGCTTTCTAAATAATTTTTTACTATCTATAGTCTTACTTGCCATGACACTTATTATAATGGTTTGGGGGTTTTTGGGGTGGTTTGAGTGTTTTGCTTTTGTTTGTTTAAGTTCTGTAGGTACACACATCTAGCCTGAGGTCCAAATGGCTGTGGAGTAGACACTGAATTCAGTAGAGAAAACTGCCATCTAGGAAGGCTGTTCCTACAGCTGCTGTTAATTTCCATGAGAACTCAGAGATAAAAACCTTTGCTTACCTACTATCTGTCCTCTAACAGTATCGTTGTCATTTGGCCCAAGCTTGCACAGATCCAACCTCTGATCTGCAAAACGAGGACACAGAGCACAAATCATACAAGAAAACAAAATACCATCACCAAACCAATATACAGCTCTTATAAAAACCAGCAAAAACCCAATGAACTGTCCCTCTTCAAATGACTGATATGCAAGTTTGGTCTGAAGGAGAAGAAACTAGTCCTCAGCTTACTTACAACCAGTGTCTTTAAGGCGGTTGATTGCGTTGGAAAGAAGTCTCACACAGCCCAGAAAACCAGCTCCCTGCTTTTTATGGATCTTCTTGTGATTCCACACACTGATTGTTATTGAATCTGACTTCCCAATATATCTGAAAAACGTGGAAAAGCAGCACTGTGAATGGCACTTATTGCACACTTTGATGGTGCTCCAGAAACCACCTTGGGGGGAATAAAAAATTATCAACCACTACATTAAAAATTGAACAGACACTGTAACAGCAAGAGAGAGCAAGTCATCTGCAGCTAAGATGTACACATTATACTTTAATGAAAGCATGTCTTATGGAGGAGCCTACTTGAATACAAACTCAGCTAAGAGCCTGGTTCTGGGGGGAGGCATTCAGTGAACCAAGGTCTACCCTAATCCATTCAACATGAGCAGGCTGTGGGCTGGCCTGGTGACCACAGCTCTCCAAGCAGCCACAAACATGCTTAGCTTCATGCCTCTGACCCAGGGGGATGGGGATGCTCATGGCAGCAGGTGTCTGTGAGCAGCAGGAGCCAAACACCAGGACAGAAGCTCAGCCCTCACCCTCTGCAGCACTTCTGCTGCTGTCCAGGCCACTCTGCCAACCCCAGCAATGCAAGCCACCCTCCAGAGCCCTTCTGCACCCCAGGGAAAACAAAAGCAAACCCAGTCACACATCTGCGGCTAACAAAGCTTTGGGAAGCTAATTTATAATTTACTACAGCAATGTGTGTTTGTAACACACAGGACACGTCTCACCCCATGGCACAAGGCTCAGAGTCCCAGCTGAGCTGTGCCACGTTCCCCTCCTGCCCCTGCTCACCTGGGCACTGTCTCCTCTCAGCATTCCCAAGGGCAGGCTTGGCAAAACCTGCATCTGTGTCTCCCTGGCTTGGGGAAACCTGGACACTGTAGGCTATTCTCTATTGGCCTTTTTTGTTTGAAGCTTTGTTCTTCAGAGGCAATTACTTTGTGAGCTGGTTTTTGTTTTCAAAACTTTGAGAGGACAATTTCAAAACACTCAAGATAAATCAGCGATTGCCAATACTGAATTATTATAGTTGTTTCAAGTTAAGGGAAATAAATTTGTAACTATGGCTTAGATCCCAAGGACTGCTTGTAGTTCTCCCTTCCCAGACCACAAGTTCCGGCCTTAGTTGAGTTCCAAGTGCCTCTTTTGTTTGTTTTTGAATGAAAACTGATCAAACTCACTCAACCAATATCTAAATACATCTCCCTATTGACTGTGGCTTTATTGGCTTTCAAACATCTTAGTATTTCCGTAAGAATAGAAATGATACTGTCAAGGTTGGCAAACCAAATAATTGAACTAACTGTCATGGCTTAAAATTACACCAGGTTAATATTTTTCCCAGTTTGTCCTTTTCTAAAAAGCAGAACTTTGACAACTTCTTTTTCCCACCTGCAGACAGGGACTGACCCAAGAAGCAGAAGACAGCAAAACCTGACTGTAGGCACAAACCCACGAGCATGGTTTAAAGTAACCACTGCACATCCAAACAGAATAAAAAAACCCAAACAAAACACAAACTTCACACAAAAAAAAGCCCCAAAGTTTTTTGACTAGCAAACTGATTGAATAACATAGGTCAGATTTTTGGCCTTACAACCTTGACAATGCCAATTTAGCATAGAGAACGAGATGAGGATGAGTATTCACGTGCACAGTTGCAGTCTACAATGTTTTATGTACTTAAAAGAAATTCTTATGAGAACAAAGTTAGGTGCACTTAAAAATAAAGACTTATCATGACCTGTCTTGATTTTTCCAGTTTTCCTTGTTGCTTTAAGAAAGTCAAAGGTATATGGTTAAACACAATTTCATAACAGAACAGTTTGAATAACACGTAGAACAGCTGAATACACAACACAGTTTCCAAGGACTCCTGTAACCTTTCAGGGAGAGGCTCTCAAGGTTGGGATGCACAGTCACCATCCACCCCAAGCAGGTGACAACTTTGGTATCACTGCTACAGCCTACTCTGATTTCTGCACCCAAAAAACCTCTCTGCTGCACACATCTAAAGGAAATAAGTAAGACAACTGCATTTTCCAAATAAAAACTGGGTTTTTTTTAAGGAAGAAAAGAAATAGTTAAGCAACTTCCAGCTGGCTTTAAAGCAAAATATTTCACCTCTGTTTCTGCATAATTTCAGGCATGAAAACCCATGGTTGCATTTAGAGAGTGACAGTAGGACAAGTTGACATTTCCAATTCATTTGGTGGATAAGTTACATTTGGTTTACATCATCTGGCAATAAAGTCCCAACATAAAAGCCTGAGCTAGGAATTTTATTTTTTATTAAAAAAGAATGTTCCAAAAAATAAAGTGAGTTTGAAAAAAAAAAAAAAAAAAGAAGCAACAAACCAAACCAGAAACAAAACCCACATGCTCCCCATTTTGTAGGATGATTTTCTTCCTCCTCATAATTAAAGTTTCTGGAGCCTACTTATTGTTTTTTCCCCCTCTACCCTATCAGCAATGTCTATTTCACAGCTTCAGTCCTTCAACAGAGGTAACAGGATTAGTATTAATGACATAGACATTTTGTTAACTTTCTACAATTTCTGACTCTATAAAATTAGGGCTTTGGGTAAGAACTGTATGTTCAGAAATTTTAATTTCCCTAATCTTAGCACTTCCACTTCTAAAAAACCCAAGTACTTGCCATACTGGAAACCTCCAAAATATTCTAATAAAATTTTACCACATAGGGACAACTGCTATTTTATCTAAATAAGAATCTCTTTGCCAAAGTGGCAAATCCCATACATGGCTCAGAAAGGTTTGGTCTCAAGTGACTTTTCATCCCCATGGCATTACATACACTTTCCCTGAAGAGTTCAGCTCCACAGAGAAATATGGAATGAAGAAAGTGGAAAAAAATCATTCCTGAAAAAACACACCTCTTCCTGATCACAGGCCAGATGTCCTCCCTCCAGAAAGAGAGAAAAATGCAACATCAAGAGGTATGAACTCAGGTTTGGAAGCCAGGAATTCCCTAGTTCTAACCTATGCTGTCACAGGCTCTTTTTATGACCTGGATGAATTACTCAGTTAGTTTCTCCATTTTCCCACTTCTGTTTTTTTTTTCCCAAGATAATGGCAGTGTTATGCTTTGAGCATCAGCTGCTTTTGAGTTGGGGGAGAAGAGATGTAATGGAAAATACCATCCCAAGTTCTTCTCTTCCCTCTCCCTGGCACTGCTGATCTCTGGCAGCAGTTGGAGGGTGTTTGAGCCTCTGGGATGGTCACAAGAGAACCTGCAGGGGCAGGAACAGAGCAGGGACACATGGTAGTGTCTGGCTGCTCCTTCTCCTCCCCAGCACTGCTCAGCCCATGCTGAGCCCACAGACACTGCAGAGCCCAAGCAAGGGAAGTCAGCTCTACTCCAGGTGTGCCCAACAGAGCCTCCTACAAGGGTCAGCAAAGGCTGGGACACCTCCAGTGCTGGAGCTGGAATGGCCACAACTGCTGACACAGACCCAGAAATGCTTTTGATCCAAATGCAAAGGGCATCAGCTTCACCAAACTGGCCTAAAGCACCATGTTGAGCAGGCAAAGCTGCTGCACGAAGCAGTTTGATGGCTCTTTGGAGTCAGATCTAGGATGGGATTGTCTAAACCAGCACTAAGCAGAGCTGTTGTCTTCTCTCCCTAAGAAAAATTCAGGACCATTAGCAATAACTAGGCGAAGTAGAGCTGGAGAGTTGGGGGAGAAAAGCTAATCTGCCAGGGCAGCACAACAGCCTGAGGATGTGAAGGCACCACAGAGCACCAGAACCTGCAGTGAGGAGATTTCAAGAGGTGGAGTTAGTTGTGAAGTTGGGTGAGGTTACACTTCAGAGGGATCACCAGAGAGGAGAGGAAGGAGCTGGAGCCTGGGGGTGCAGGTTTGAAGGGCACAGAGGAAAGATGGGACCAGGATGAGGTTTTGGTGGAGATCATGGTACAAACTAAGTGACACAGATGATATGACTTGCTATGCCTTAAGGGCAGAGGTGGGGAAAGCTGCAGGAGAGCTCTGGCTATCACAGAAGGGAAGAAATGGGAAGGAAGAGAAAAAGGGGATTTGTTAAGTTTCTCAACTGCTGGTTTAGGTAGTGTTTCAATGCTCTGGATGCAAGAAAGTCTGCAAATGTGTTAAGTCTGGTTATTCAAAAGCTTTGAGGAAAGGCCTGAACAATAGGGAAAACACAAACAAGACTGAAAATAAGGAAGGGGAATACATCCAGGGCAAGCATGGTATTTTACTGACATTAAACTACATCCAGACAGCAACTATTTGGCAATTTCTTTCTGGAAATCCTCCCAGATTCCCCCTCCACACACACACCCATCTAGGCTGAAGAATCCAAGCAACTAATTCAACCACTTCCTTTCACGCTAAGATCTGAATTAAGAACACGTAAAAGGCAAACCAACCCTGGTTTGTTCTTTGTAACCCTGTAGAAGTCTTAAAATCATTCTCACACAACAGATTATCTGTGGTGCTGAATCAGGTTAGCAAGTCATAAAATTCCCTTGGAATTAGCAACTTAATTTCGACATTATTGCATTAATATATCACAACAGCTCCACCTGACTGTGCCACTTGCATCTGCCATCACATGATACACGAGACTAGTAATTAGCAGCAGTGTTAACCTGTGATACAAATTCCAGGCTGGGGACACTTCAATCAGCCCAGCACAGCAAGAGACAGTTTTACTGCACATAAGCCTATTACAGCTATTTAAAAGCCAACAGAAATCTTCACGGAAGGAAAAAAATGCAGGATTTTTTCTAGGTAGCTGTACCTTCCTCTGGCTGAGCTCCTGCACGGTGTGGTGGCAGGGGCAGGTGAGCTGCCACGGAGCCTCCAGCTGCTCTGCTCACTGTGCACAGCATCTCCCCTGACAGTGCAGTGCCACAAGGCACAGCCTGGTGCTCTGCCATGGGGTGTTGTCAGGGAAAGCATTAAGATGCCTAAAACCCCTGTTATTTTCAAAGGATGAGAAGAAAGACTGAAGTGCATAGAATCATAGAATCAATCAGGTTGGAAGAGACCTCAAAGATCAAGTCCAACCCTACTGCGGTGAGAAGGTCTCCCCTGAGCCTCCTCTTCTCCAGGCTGAAC